CTGACAGCAAACGCACACGTTAACAYAGACCAACACACTTTTAACGCACAGATGATCACCTCGTTGGCCCTCCTACCACGTGTGGTGGTTTCAGAGCCCTGATGAACTCGCTGGTCTGCTGGTAGTCGGTGTGGGCGGAGAAGGAGATGTAGTCCACCGACATCTTCAGCTGCAGTTTCTGTCCCGACATGGTGGTGATCTCCTCTGGCTCAGACATGATGTGCTGCAAAGCGAACCCAATCAAAACACAAATCAGACTGAAGTCGACAACTTATAGGTTTCTTCCGGTCTTTAAGACRGGACTGTGAAGAACACGAGAGTGTTATTTTGTTCAATGAGACACACAAATCTTTAATTGTTCCTTAAAGTGCCTGTGACATCAAATGTTTGTAAATAAAAATGAATGCATTTTTGGAAAGGCAACATTAATGAGATATTACAAAACAAATTTCATGCGGCTGAGGTGAACAGTTGTTGAGATATTTGCGTGTGAAGTCACAGGAAGTGATGTAAAAGGGGAATGTCTGCGTGTGTACAGTGTAACTAAAATAGCTAACAACAGAGACTGTAGAGAAGAATTTGATGTTTCTTGAAATTATTTTGAGTCACTTTCAAAGAAGAGTCAGAGTTTAAATAATGATGTTATAATAATCAAAGGCCYGAAAGTTCATTTTCATAAAGAGTTCCCCTGTGATGTCACTTCCTGTTTCACTTTGGCTGAGCCAAGTCCAAAAGAAAAGAAAAAATGCCAGTTATGAGATAAAATGAGCAAAATTGGGTGTTTCCTGCCAAGTTCCTTACATGTAAAAATGTTTTCTTTGACTTTTTGTACTTGAAGAATTTGCATGTCACAGGCACTTTAATTTCCTGACGTTCTGACCTTCGCCAGCGTTCCCTCCACGCAGTACCCAGCGATGATGACGCCGTTCCTCTTGTCGGTGCACCAGCTCTCGAACAGCTCCCGGGAGAGTCCGCTCTGCATCATTCCCGGAGACGCCATCACCACGCTGGGGCCGATGTCATCAAAGTGGTCCATACTCTGAAACATGGAGTAACAATGAGCTCACAGCACTTTCTAKGGTTCAGTGTGGGGCGTCTACAGGAGCCTCCACCTTTAGATTGCTGATGTGCTTGAAGACAAACGGGTTGTTGARGTTGATGGCCTTGCGGATCTTGTCGTTCATCGCGTTGACGTACGTCTGGTACACGGCCATGCACTTCTTTGCCAGGGAGGAAGCGTAGTAGATCGGGATGTCATGGAGCTCTGGGTGATTCTGCCAATACTCATCTAGATCAGTGGAATGAAGAGAACATAAACAGGATGACAGCTAAAGGATAAAAAGCAGAGATGTTGGATTTTATTGTAACTACACAAAAAAACTGCTGTCAATCAAAAACATTGCTGTGTTAGAGCTTTGTTGATTTAAAGAAAGCTTTTGACACTATAAATAATAATTATGTGTTATTGGGTGTCTAGTTTTCTGAATAAAAAGAAACAGTTTGTACAGGTAAACAAGGTAAGATCTATGTAATATTAGTTGTGGAGTTCCTCAAGGCTCTGTGATCGGAACTGTTTATTTTGTATATGAAAGATTTGGRCAAAGTGTCAAAACTTTTTGTTTTTGTTTGCTGATGAACACTTTGTTTTTATTCTGGTGAAAATATTGAACAGATATTAATACAAACASAAGCTATGAAAATACAAACTAAATAAGTTACCATTGAATTTGGACAAAACAAACTACATGATATTTGTTAACAAAAAGACAATTATTCAAATCCCATTTAGACTTGATGGTGTTTAAATTTTTATGTGTCATCACTGATGAGAAGCTGGAAATCTTGAATTAATGACTGAAGAAAACAAAATAGCAAAATCTATTACATTGTATAAAGTAAAGGTTTTTGAACGATAAAGCTCTGCATGTGTTATATAATGCAATGATTGTTCTGCATTTAATTTATTTTATTGCAGTTTGGGGGGAAACGTAAAACAATTACAAATCCTAGTTTTATTTTTTCAAAAAAAAGAGCTGCAAGAAAACATAGTATAAAACACTGCAGTCTAGGGCTGCAACTAACGATTATTTTAATAATTAATTAATCTGTTGATTATGMTTTTGATTAATCGATTAATCGGCCAAATCATTATAACGCTTAATTACATGAATATGAGTATATATAAATTAAGTTAACTCCTTAAGGAT